TAAAGTATAAGTGCCGTATACTTTTCAAACAGTACATATATACGACTACAACGAAACTATTTACTATGTATTTAATTAATTAAAATTAAATAAATCTAAATTATTTGGTTTAGTCAACGTTAATCGAAAATCTATAGTCAAAAAATTAAAATTTCCTGGTTTCTTCAAATATCTTATTTCGTAGGTCTTTTTTCTATATATTTTTCAATTAAAAATCGTTTGTAGTTTTATAACTGTTAAGGAACTGATTTCCTTTTTAATGCATACATACATGTACTTTTGAATATAAAATGAAGTACTTTATCTTATCAATATGATAATTTATCTATTTTATATATATTAAACCCTTATGCCATTCCCTTATTTAAAACTAACTCAATTGTTTACATTATATTAAATCATGTGTACAAAGACATAACGTCTCAGACACTATTATTGAATACTTTAGACAATTATATAGTCTATTATATATGCAAGTGTATTTGTGCTTGAGAATATCACTTTGATGGATTCTGACACTTTCTTCAGTATTAATGTATCTGAAGCTTAGCTAAAACTTGGAGTGACACTAAAAGCAAGCCAATTGGACAATACGTATCAAAATAATATATATATTAGATAGGACCCAACTATATTCTATGAAGTGAAATGATGGAATGATGAAATGGTGGAATGGATTTTTTACGTTCATATAAGAGCAAAGACATACATATAGCGAAATTTGATTGTATTTGCTTAATACATATTTTTTCCAAAGTAATTCTTACAGTATTGTGGCTCTAGTCAATCGTTATACGAAAAAAGCTATACTCGTATTGAGTAAAACTCATATTCCTAAAGTGCTAAAGTTTATATATTGAAATGAGAAACATTTTTATAAATTCTTTTATTAATGAATGGAACACGACTGAATAAAATAAATATAAATAAAATTCTTATTTTCTTCTTCTTTATCGTTTTGCAGCAGTACAGTTTGTATTTTCGCAATGAAGTGAAAATAGATTTCACTTTGTGATAACGGCGCACAGCACTACGTGTTGCAAAAATTTGTCAATATTGCAAAAAATTCAAAAATTATTCAAATAAAAGTGTTGAAAAAAGATACGTAAAAAGTCATACATGCATTTCTATGGGGCCGTACTGTGGCTACTCTTAGTGAAGTTGTCTCTGACTGTGCACAACCTGCGCCTACTGACTGTCCATCCATGTTACAATCAACAACAGTGCCGGGCCAGTGTGGCGGAATTATGAGGAACCGCTCGTAGTCTAGCCTAGGCTGCTTACGACCGAATGCATATTTGCATGCAATGCCACAACTCGGTCAACACCACTGATGCGTGCTTATATGGCTTAGTGAGGTTCATAAATATGCACTCGGTCGCATATTAGTGCCAAATATTGCTGCAGCGGGAATTACAAATTTCGTTTCGATTTTCATAATTTTTTCATTTCATTTTTATATTTACAATAGTAGTTTTTAATTTATTTTATTATTGTTTTTATTATTATTTTAAATAATTTATCGTGCCGTACTTGTATTCACTTATTATGCAAAATATGATGTGTATTTCTGCATGAATTTCACTTGCTGAGGTGAGATGAGGTGCCAATGTCATGGCGTGGGGGAACCTATGTAATTATTGTAATAAAATTTTATTTCAAATGTTCAACCGTAAAATGCAATATGAATTGCTAATTAAGGCATTTGTTGATATTTAAAACATATTTATTTACCTTAACATATAATGCTGTTTAGTTCATTTATATTAAAAATTTTTTAAGAATTGTAATTATGGTTATGAGGTAGGGTGCATATATGATAAGTTTATTTTTTTAATAACTTATTGGATATTATTACTAAAAATTATAATAAATACATTGGCTCTACGAAATGAATACTAATTACTTGGTATCTGTTCGTTCCGTTACTGAATACGTATATTGGTGTATAGTTCATGAGTTTCACTAATTAGTAATTCATGCAGGTTCAGAGTTCAGGCAAGAAATCAGTTTTAATCAATTATTATACATTGAAATTATTTCAATAATTATCATTTACCAGATTTATGTGTGAAAAATAATACTACTCAAGTAGTTATCAAGTTTATGTAAGAGATATAAACAAAAAGCAAAGAAAATATATTTTTTTTAAATAAAAACTTTAATTTTCAATGTAAGTTCCATCATTTTTAAAGTAGTCACCCAACAATACTAAGCACTCATTCTACCTCAATCCTTACTTTGAGAAACACTGCGAGAGAATATATATGTTTAGGCTTGTCCCCCAACAATACTAAGCACTCATTCTACCTCAATCCTTACTTTGAGAAACACTGCGAATGAATATAACATATATGTTTGGGATTGTTCTTGAGCTGCTACTGCTCAATCGCTCAATCACCTTAACTGTTGTTGAAAATATACATATACATGTATATATATATATATATATATATATATATATATATATATATTATATATATATATATATATTATATATTATATATATATATATAGATATATATATTAACTATAAGCATATATTAACGGATCTATTCTGTGCACTTGGCAGATATGTCAAATTCTTTAATAAAATTTTTGATTTTTATAAAGCAGAAAGCTTTTTGGTATTCTGGACACATCTTAACAAATTTCAAAGCTCAAATACCTAGTGCTTCTTACCATACAATGGTGTAAAGTGTTTTGTATAGAAAACTGTTCGTAATTGTTCGTAACTGTTTCTAAAAAAATGCTTGTAAAGAGCACATATTTTAAGTTGCCAAAAGCATTTTTTATGCATTCAAATAACAATAAAAAATATGCTTGTAAAGAGCATATATTTTAGTTAAGAATATTTGTCATGCATGCAAAAAATAAAAAATGCTTGGAAAGAGCATATTTTTATAGTTGTCAACAGCATTTGTTGTATTGACAACTAACAAGGAAACGAGCTTTTTATTTATGTCACAGAATACCAAAACCTTTACAGCAGTCAATTTTGACTAGTGTCAATGTTTGACAAGTTTATAAAGTGCACAGAATAGGTCCGATATATATTATACATGTATAATTATATATAAACATGTATTATATTTATATATATGTTATTTGGTAAGAAGTAAAATGACACTTCTTCGTTGATTACGACTTGTTAGTGATGTTATACCCAGAAAAAAAATAGTGTTAAAATTTGAAAATAAATAATATAATTAATTAAATCTATTATAGTACACCTAGATTATGATTTCATTTCAATATACTACAGCATTATTTATTTAATTTATTATTAAGCTTTCACAGCAAATTAGCAAAAACTCCAAGTTCGAACATGGAAGTTAATTACAGCTTTGGAATATGTGACTAATGGACACTGACTCTGAGCTTCAAACTAGACAAGATACCAGTTTAACCCTTGGTACTTGTAGTCTGAAAAAATTGTTTACTGATAATTAAATATAAGAAATCTTAATTCCAAGATCATTGATGATAGCTATTTGGCAATATACAAACAGTTCTATGGTTAGCCTAAAAACTTTAATAATTTAAAATAAATATAAAATTTTGTTGTTGTTATTTACTCTTGTTCAAAACACCAAAAAAAAACCTATAAATTTAATTATTATATTATTATACGGAAAATGATAGCAGTTATACTATTTCACAGTCAACATACCTCTTAAACCGCTTAATCCTTAAGCGGTTATATTGTATATTTTAACAGCTGATATAGCCTTGATTGTGGAAAACTTCGGTGGATGCTGCATAATTGATTTTGGTTGGTGCAATATTTTTATCATATTTAACTCTCTTATAATTGAAAAGTGAAAATGCCTTTAAAGCAAAAACAAAAATTTATCGGTTGTTCACACAAAACATATATTGACAGGACATCAGTGTCCCAAAATGATTGAAGATTCGCCACGCTCTGAAAGACGAGTTTAAACTAATGATTATAAAACAAAGGCATTTAGTGATAGAAACCGAATGATAAGTAACTGAGAAATTATGTATATCGATTTCGACCGTTCATTATTATTTGAAACTCCTAGATTGAAGCTTAAAGCTAGATATATGGACTCCTCATGTACTTGAAAATATAAGCTAGTACCGTCACTTTGATGTTTTGAAGAAAATTATCATTCTTTAAAACATTTAATGACTGTGGACTACAATGCGCGACTATATAAATGTTAAATGCACGAGATAATACAATAAAAGAAATAAACTTGGCTCAATAAACATCAAAAGTTTTTATTCATCAAAAAAGTGTCTTTGGGGCATTTTAAAGGAATTGTCTTTCAGCATCTATTGGACAACAATTCTATGAGATCAATTCTGCAGAATATTGCCATAAGCTAGACAAAATGAATATTTTACTTAAATAGAGAAGATCAAAATCAATTAGTCTCCATAAAAATCCCATTCAAACTTGGTAACTCGGCAAAAGTTTATGCACTTTCGATATGATAGAATGTCACATCCACCGTTTTCTACTGATTTAAAATTTATTCTAATCATTATTTATCCTGAATTCTATGAAATCGTTTAGACAATAAAATCGTTGCTTCGAATAAGGAAGTGAAAAATGACTTTTATCAGCTTTTTGTCAGCAGAGAATAAAAATGTTATTAGTGTCGATATCAGGGATCCAATGTGTCTATAGATTAAGAACCACACAAACGTTTTATTTGATGTAATTATGTATACAAAGTTGCTCATTTCTTTTTTATGACCGACTATGTAAAAGAGCGTTTCGGAACCAAAAACAAAATCACTAAAACATTTCAAAGATAAACTGTGTTATTGTGAATTCTCACTATTACCTTTAAACTTAACTCAATCAATTATACGCTAAGCTGTAGTGGGTACTTATAGCATAAATGCCACTCCATAAAAATTGATCTATTTTGATAAAGAACTCCTTTGCATTATTTGTAAGAAATTTCGCTAAAAAATCTTAAAAGTTTCAATAGAAAAATATCATCAACTGAATTTTTCTTAAATTTCAAATTTATTTCGATCCTTTACTAAGAGAATTCAACATCAGAAAACATTACAGACATAAACATAAAATTCTACTAATATTTATTATTAATGAAAAACTATATTTTCTAAACGTCCTCATCATACTCAGTCTGAGTCTCAACGGACATTGTACTCAAAAGTAAGAAATTGTCTTCAAAATATTTCTTTACGATTTCTCTACGAAGACGTAGTATCTTCTCCTTACTATCAAAACACTGCAGTTCTATGTCCATCATTTGAACCGTTTTCCAATAGAATTCTAGATATTTTATAATATTTCTAACAATGCACATTTTAACTGTTTCTACTTGTTGTTTACGGATTGTGATACGCTCTCTCAAGTCATCTAGTTCTTGTGCGCCAGTGATGTCCTGAAAACCGGAAAACTCATTAGATGCAAAAGGAAATATGCAGAAACTCTTACAATGTCTTCCCATGAGTTGAAATGTTGCAGACTATCGTCTACAGCCTGACAGTCTTCTTTAATTTGGATTATCATGGACTGGAACGGTTGGCTATAAGCAGAACTGAAACCACAGTCATTAGAAGCCATTGTGATCTAAAAAAAGGATCCGAAATATAAACACAAAAAAAATTTTTTAATTTTATTAATTTTTGTTAATTTTTTCTAATTTGATTTGGTTTTTGTTTATTTTTTATCAAATATTTGACATTATTTTTTTTTACTTTAAATTGCTTGCTTGATTTGTTTTATACCTAAAAATATGACTTCATTTTCCATCACAATGACTTTTAAATAATAAGATAGTTTAAATAATTCTTGTCTTGGAAACAATTCTTGTATTTAATTATTCGTAAATAATTTTTTGAGACTGCAAGTACCAGAAATCAAACTCGTGCCCTGCCAAATTTGTAGCTCAGATTCAGCGCTCCTTAAGCAACTGACTGAAAGTCGTACTTGACTTGTATGTTCGCACTTTTTTCTAGAGTTTAGCTAATTTTTTTTAATGGGTAATGACTTAGTAGAGGTAGGGGGAATTTAAAGGGATGGGGTTGATTAGGTATGCTCAAGATTTTTATTGTAATCAAACCAGATCAAGACAGAGAAACCTCGTCACTTAAAGGAGGTGGGTTCAAATGTCGATTGGACTGAGGTTTGTGTGTGCGGAGAGGCAAAATAACAGATAAACGACGTTATGGGGAGTAAAGCTACCGTTTAGGCATACATTGATGTATTTATGTGTGACAAGTAACTGTTTAGCACATGGCTACATCGTGATCTCAATTAAGTTTGGGTATTTCTTAGTGTCATCATTCATCATTCTTTCTGAGAAATGGTGTGCGGTGACCTATTGAAAATCTTGTTTTACTATAACTGTGGTCTCACAAATGATACTGCATCTGTGTAGAGAGCTATAAGTACATGTTGGATGAAGGTACTATATAACATATTCATTATAGTTGGTTGCCTATGTTCTATTGTGGCTGTTTGCTCCTCATGGGATCTACGCGAAGTAATATATGTAATGTTCTTTATATTCATATCATATAAATTTCAAATTCTATTTGGAATACAATGAACAACTCTTATAAATATTGAACATATAGTTTAAAACAATAACATTATTACAACAGAGACTAATATCGTAGTCCTCAGATAGGTAACACTTTTAGAGTAATCATACGTGTATGTGTTATGTATTTCTCTCAATAAGCTAAAAGGTGGGATTTATTCTCAATTTCCTTTTGAAATTTGTTGACTTTGCTCATTAGTTTTTGAGTAAATAGAACATAATTTAAACTTTTTCAACAATTGCATCATTTAATACACCTAAAGCGCCCAAGCAGATACAAAACTTATTTTCAATTCATTTTGCAAGTTTGGTTAGTTGCAGTCGTAATCAGTTAAGGAGCTGCGGAAACTCAAGAAATCCAGCAGGGAGAACGCTCTGATACTCTTTCAGATTATGCGCCAATAGCAAATTTTGTGCTATTTTTGCGTTGCAAAGCGAACACCCCGAAAAGTCATACTCGGTTTGTTGCTCGAAGAAGTTTGGTCCTTATAATTTCTTTACAATTTTCACAGCAAATCAGAAAATTAAGAAAAGGTGAAAAGCAAAGCTAAATATAAAAATAAAGAAGTAATGATGTATCTGGTACTGTGTGTTTGTGCGATATTCGTCCGTCCATCCTTCAGTTCTCTGACTGCTTTAATGTCAATATATTTTTGCACCTAACTATACGAGTATGTATATATGGCATATATATTATTTTTAACTATTTATCTTAGCAGTTCTCGAGAAGTGTGTGTCTATTTGTAGAACGATATGTGCGTATGCAATTGTATTTGTTCATTTCTGTGTATATTGTAGTCAAAAAATAGTTTTCCAATTAAACTTTATCCTTTTGCTTTAATTTACCGGTTTCATGCCTTGTCGCCTCTTTTAACCGCATAAAACGTATTTTAAACTTTTCGTTTAGACCTCTCCTCTTTCTTCTTCTTCTTGGTACTTGGTAATTTTTCTTCTTACATAACAGTTACGTCTGCCGCCACCGTTGGTATGCCATATCTACATACTTACACGGTAGCTTAAAATATCTATCTTACGTTTTGATTTCTTTCCTTTTATCTTTTAATTTATTTCATTTTGTGTTGTATTTGAGCAGGAATTGCAGGTGTTGTGATGCGTTAAGCTTAAACCAATTTTAAATTAAAATGCAATTTTAATATATGAAATAAGAACTTATGATGAATGCATTAAGATACGAATGCAATGCGAGTTTTATCTAAAGTATCTGTAAGTTGCACATCACAATCGAATCTGAATTTCATTTAATGATTAACGCAATTTCATTCTGCCATCACCCAATTTGTTCCCAGTTTATACAAAAGCCTAGCTTAGAACGCTGTTCAAATGAATAGTTCAACATTTCTTAGATTCTTAACCTATAAGTTCATATCGAAATTAAAAAAACTAGATCCTATATACAAAACAGTTTGAAAAGAAACTTCCTTTGAAAAGAAGTGCGATTCCGATTGGCTATGGTTTTATAAGGATTTGTCCTAAAAATCTCTACTCGGAGATATTCATGAAATTTTAATAATGATCGTGAGGGGATCCCAAAAAAAATGATATAAAAAAAAATTAAGAAAAACAAAAAGAAATAAGTGTATATACTTTAATCTTAAAGGTAATTATCAGAACTACAAAATAGTCATCCTGACTGATAGCCCTGCAGCAATAAAGCCTCTCAATTCTAACCAGATAGTATCAAAACTCCTAATTGAGTGTCCAAAAAAGGTGAAATTCCTTGATCAAAACAATCTGATATAGCGAAATTGAAGACAAACTTTTCGGTACTGAAGCACTTTCGCTGTTTTTAGGCTCAGAACCAATCGGTGGCTTGGGAATAGGTACTTACTTCTTACTCATTCGATAAAAATTGGAGAAGCTCATGAGCTCATGAGCTATGCTGGGATATATTACCAAGACTAGCACAATGAAAATCGCTTGTGGGAACTTTCAATCTAAAAAGGTTTAAGGATTTTATGTAACTAAATTAAAATTATAATCTTCCCTGGCACTTCTCCACTTCAAGACTCAACAAACTAACTCATATAAAATGAACTTCCATTAGAATAAAAAAGTTCACAGATAACTTCAACTTAAAATGTCAAAAATTTGGATATAGTCACATTAGTAATATTGTCACAAACTAACATTTATTTTATTTGGCTTTATTTCATTATATTTTATTTTCTTATATATTATTTTATTTTATTTTATTTAATTTTCTTTATTTTTTATTACTTAATTTTATTTTATTTTAATTTACTTTGCTTTATTTTATTTTATTTCAATGTATTTTATTTCAAAGTATTTTAATTTATTTTATTTTATTTTATTTTATATTATTTAATTTTATTTTACTTTATTTTACTTTATTTTATTTTATTATTTTATTTTGTTTTATTTTATTTTATTTTATTTTTTTATTACTTAATTTTATTTTATTTTAATTTACTTTGCTTTATTTTATTTTATTTCAATGTATTTTATTTTATTTTATTTTATTTTATTTTATTTTATTTTATTTTATTTTAATTCATTTTATTTTGTATTATGCTATTTTATATTATTTTATTTTATTTTATTGTATTTTATTTTACATTATTTTATATTTTTTTATTTTATTTTATTTTATTCATTTTATTACATTTTATTAAACCGTATTTTATTTTAATATTTAAGGTTTACTAAAATAATTTAAAAAAAAATTTTTTTTTATAAATTTTTAGTTTAATGCTGACTTTATTTATATAATTAAAAACTGTAATCCTTATATATTAAATATTAAGTGCACAAATTTATTTTCAAAGAAAAGAATTTGAACTTAAAAAAAGAATAACTCCAAATAATTTAAGAATCATTACAGGAATTCTGACGGGATACTATAAGGCAAACCGGGACTATAATAAAACTTTTTTTTAGTAAGGTAAAAAACAATGCACCAAGGTATATTCTATGTTTAAGACTATAATAAATCGATGAAGTTGAACTTGAAGAAATACACTGAATTCGTGAAGTTGGCACAATAGATCTTTAATCGATACAAAAATCGATTGTCCTACTTTATAACTATTTTCATAAATAAAATTATTAAAATATTTAATCGTAAATCTTTTAAATAATAAAAAAACCTTTGGACAATGCAAACGATTTGTCATTGTGGAAGCAGATGAAGGCCTTAGATACATAAATCAATTGCATATGAGGCCTCATTACACGTGGAACTTCTATGTTGCATTTGTTGTTAATTTTGTAATTTTGTGATTTTGTAATTTTCGATTTTCGATTCTGAATTTTTTTTATTTTTTATTTTATAACTTTAAAGTTTACACAATAAAATGTTCATTAAAATATTAACACGTTCATTATTTCTAAGAAATACAATTATTTAAGTTTGCATTTTTTTCTCGATTTCGTTGCTCATGTGTTGCTTCTGAAAAATGTGTGTGTCTGTTTTATAGAATTTATTATTCAAATTTCATAAAATTTATGATATTCTGAAAAAGTTTGTAGATTCATTGCATTCGAAAAAAAATTGTATCCAAATACAATGTAAACAATCGACAACATTACAAGCAAATTGCCTGCAATAAAAATTACTTTCCCTCGTACCTTCAGCCGGCAATCATTTTAATATTAAAACGAACAAACCAAAAAACTGAGAAACTAACAAAATATTGTTTACAAATAAAAATAAAAAACGAAAAAATAAAAAATAAAAAATAAAAATATGTACTTATATAAAATCGAAGGGAAGGAATAAAATCGACGAAAACACAGACAACTTCATGAAATTCTAAAATGAAGTTCAATTTATTTTCATCATTCAAACTGGCATCGCATCAACGATTGTGCATTAAATTTTTAATGCATCTGCTGGAGGTGTAAATGAATTGTTGCAACAAAACATTGTGTTGCACTTCGGCATTGCTACAAGAGTCTACTTAATGTAATATTTTATTGTGTAGAGCAACACATAATACGGTGTAAGGCCATACCCAGGCATTGTTGGCAACAATTTCGTGAATTTACACTGCGCTATGAAAGTAAAGTTACACGCGAGAGCAACGA